CCACAGCTTTGAATGTAAAGCAAGAACGGGATGGACCACTGGTCCCACAGCCAGGCGCCCTGGTGCAGTGCAGACTGCTCACCTCCACACGGCTGCCTTGACAGGAATGCACTGTTTCTCTCTATTGTACACTGTCAAATAATTTTAAAGTGTTAGCAATATCCAGGTGAATGTTATCTGCTTCTCCTGGAACAAGCATATTCCTTATCGGTAGATGGGAACATCTGTCTCCCGCAGTTAGACTGCCAGCAAAGCTCTGCCTGAGCACGTACACGTATGAAACATTCTATTTTAAACTGGTTTCCTTGCATGTCTTATTTATATAACAACTTGACTATTAGATTGTTTTTAATTATGTGGGTTGAGCTTCTATGACCTCCCACTTTCATTTCAGGATAATAAAGGGGACATTATGAGCTGCCATATGTGTTTAATAGGTAGGTATTGATGGGGCGAGAATCTCTGTACGACACCAACTAGCCCTCTCTAGAGGGCTCTAGAGAAAGAAGCAGAAGACAAAAATGGAACGACAAGAAAAGCGTAAGCAAAGATGGGTGCAGAGAGGATTGCACCGGGGCGGAAAAAGAAAGTCGAAGAAAGAGGCAAGGCGAGGATGAGAGGGAAGCTGTCTTCTGCACTGTCCACCTCACCCTCTCCTCTCCTCCCTGAAGTCCTGCTCTGCTCTTCCTGCATTGCTGCCCCAGCCCGAGGGTGGTATGAAAAGCCCAATGACAGAGTCCCCCACCCCCCACAGGAACATCTCCCAGCAATTATTTTCAAGATCCTAAACACAAACTTCCCTGGGACTGTGAGATGACAACCATCCAGCCAGAGAAATGGAAGTCAGTGGCCAGATGCAAGAAATGAAGAGGAAACTCGCGCTGGAATATTGCAGAGGAAGTAGAAAAGGTAGCTATGACATCTAAGTAGAGACGATGACACGTGCCAGACGCACCTGAAGTCAGAAAAGCGGAATACTTCACTTCATCCCCACCCCACCCCAAGTTGCAAGAGGATTCTTTTAAAGGCATTAGTATGGACAGAAACTTGGCAAGGCAGGGACAGAGTATTTTCAAAAAGCAAAAGTAGTTGCTGTGAGAGTGTAGTGGGATTTATTTATTAATTTCTTTTTTAAATAAAAGTTGTTTAAATCTACTTACTTGCTTTTCTCCTGCTTCTCTACCAAACCGTCCCAGACTCCCACTGATGTATTACTGAACTTTTGGAAATTTCCAAATCAAATGGCCTCTTTCTTCAACTTGAAGATGGGCCTCCTTCAATTTCCCTACAAATAAATTCTTAAGAGCTTTCCTGGGATGTTAGGAATCAGTATCAGTTACATCAATGTTTCAATCTCAAAATTGCATCCCACAGATTTCTCTCCATGGTAATGTGGTAACATTTGTCAAACCCCTCTGCCTAATGTCAATATAAAGCACTTAATTTTAATAACAGTCTCCCCTAAATCTTTAACATAATAGAAGCCTACAGAACACACATACCAGACAGATGTATCTTGAGGGAGGGAAAATTAATGCAAGACTTTAATTTTTAACATGCAGATAATGGTTTCAATTGTTTAATGACATAAATAGAAATAAATAGTGTGGTCAAGTGTATGCCCAGGAGCTCCAGTGGTAGACTGATATTATGTTCCCCCCCACCCTTTTTTTTTTTGAGACAAAGCCTCAAGCTGTTCCCCTGGGTGGAGTGCTATGACATCACAGCTCACAGCAACCTCCAACTCCTGAGCTCAAGCGAGTCTCCTGCCTCCACCTCCCAAGTAGCTGGGACCACAGGCGCCAGCCACAACGCCCGGTTATTTTTTGCTTGCAGCCCGTCATTGTTGTTTTTGGTGGGCCAGGGCTGGATTTGAACCCGCCACCTTAGGTGTATGTGGCTGGTGCCAAGCCTACCTGTTTTCCCTTAATCCAAAAAGAAGAAACATGTAGTTCTACTTTATCAACCTTGCACTATGGTAGGCTGAGGCAGGAGGATTCCTTGAGCTTGAAGTTTGAGACTAGCCTGAGCAAGACTGAGACCTCATCTCTACTAAAAAATAGAAAAAATTAATCAGCATTGGGATGGACACCTGTAGTCCTGCCTGTTCTGGAAGCTGAGTCAGGAGGATCAGTTAAGCCAGAATTTGGGGTTACTATGTGCTAGGTTGACTCCACAATACCCTAGCCTAGGACAACAGAGTGAGACTTGGTCTCAGGAAAAAAAAAAAAAAGAGAGAGAAAGAAAGGAAAAAGGAGGGGAGGGGAGGGAAGGAGAGGGAAGGGAAGGGAAGGGAAGGGAAGGGAAGGGAAGGGAAGGGAAGGGAAGGGGAATCAGACACATCTAATCTCAGTCTCCTCACACCCATCAAAACTGTTGACTCCTCTCACCTTCTCAAGTGAAGTGAGACTGTTTTAGTCTCCTTTTTTTGTTTTTCACAAAGCATTTTGCTTCAGGCTACTTGCAGGCAAGGACAATTTCACCTTTCTGGAAGAAGAAATGGTGAGGGCAACAGCCTCTCTAACCAGAATTCTCATCAGTAAGAAATTAGGTGGGTGAAGGAGAACCTCTGACCTAGGAAGGGGCTGCCAAGCACGACCAGGCATTGACCTCAGACTGAAAGTAATTACATGTCAAAAATTTCAGAGAAAAGTCGCGTTTTCCCTTGGTCAGAGATTCTAAAGAGATTCTGAAAACTCATTTGCAATGAGTTTCACACTCCACAGATCCCCACGTGAGCTGTCTGCTCCTGACAGTTGGGCGGCGGCGGCACCCCAGTCACCCCACATGCAGCCTATCACTCCACACACTCTCTCCACTTCCATCCCATCTTTCAGCCTGAAACTCCCTTTCCCACACCTCCCCATGCACAGGCCTTATCTTTCTTTAAAGCCCAATTTAAGGTCTTTTTCATGAAGTGTTCTCTAACTGTGCCAGCCTGTGTGATGGCTCCCTCCTCTGAACTTCCTGTCCGTATTTTTTTATTTGGCACTTAGCATTGGCAGGTCTCGTGTGCTTCTTGTCTGCATACATGAGACGAAGCTCCCAAACTGAATCAGAAACCCCAGAATAGGAACTCTGCCTCTTCAATGTCTATAATCCTCACCATCCAAAATCATGGCCAAGGGCTGTCATAAAGATAACAATGGTACACCATGGAATACTATGCAGCCATAAAGAAAGATGGAGACTTTGCGTCCTTCATGTTCACATGGATGGAGCTGGAAAATGTTCTTCTTAGCA